ATCTGAGTAGGGACTTGTATGAATGTTCTGTGCTAGAATATTGGGGTATTGTAATCTGTTTGAGTTTGTGCTTATTCCAAAAAGAAATATATAAACGACCAAGTTTTATATTGGATATCATTATTCTCATTTCAATATTTCCCGCTAGAAGGGAAAAGCATTCTCTGTATGATCTTGGCATTAGTAAATTTTAGAACTAACTATATAATGCAGTGCTTTGATCTTTAACGTTGGGGCTGGCTATCTTTGTCAAATGGTTTCATTGAAGACTTTTATATTTCTGTCAAAGCTCGGTCACTTACTCACCACAGGACAAAACTAAATTAGGGTATGCTTGCCAAGAGATGTGAAAATATAAAATAATTCCAGTAAAACTTTAACATCAAGTGAAGTCTCTTAAGCATAGAAATTCTTCGGTCATAGTCTTTAAGAGCATAGAGGTTTCAGAGGTACATCAGTACCTTCCCAATGTGGTCAGTTACCTTACTGATGGTCATGGGGTCAGGGGCTGAACTGTGAGATTTTCTTTTTAAAAAGCTACAATTTTATTTTATAACAATCAGAATTTTCCAAAGGTGTTTAAACTGGATAGGTAGTGGGGCTGGGGAAATAGCTCAGTGGAATAAGCGCTTGCCTGGCAAGTGCAAGGGCCTGAGTTCAATCCCTGGTTCCCCCCTAAAACATAAATAAACTGGATAGGTGGGATATTCTTGCTAACGTTAATATGACTCACAAGATTTGTGATATGCCATATTTTAGGATATAAATTTATTTATGTAGTTTAAACTGGCACTATGAAAATGTATGTTTAAATTTTATATACAGGAGACCTGCTGGTTAGGTCAGTTCTTTAAGCGCCTGCTAATGCAAACGCAGTCAGGCACAGGATACCACAGTTCGATCCCCACCTCCACCTGCCTTAGCAGACCCGCCCTTAAGGCAGCCTGAGCCAGCCAAAAAAAAAAATCCTTCTAAATTTTATGTAGATTTCTGAGTCCTACTAACAGTAATAAGATATCAATAATTGACCTTCAGTTACAAATGTATACTTGACTAAATGTATGATAATTTTATTTAGAAATTGGATATTTATAGAGATAAATGCCAGTGCCCCTAGAAATCTGTCAGACTTATTTTACAGTAGTAACAATATATATCTAAATGTGTCTTCCCTGTTGAAGTCTCATTGAATATGTGGAAGGAGTTTTACGCCCATCTAGAAATGAAAATCATAAATGTTAAAATTAAGACCATCCAGAAAATGAACTTCTTTATTTTATATGGGATTCGAAATAGATCTATGTCATACTTGACTTATACCATGCTGGATCAAGTTATACCAAAGCTTTATGCTTACTTGAACAATACGCTGTAATCCTAAAGTAATACCTTTAACCTTTATCCATAAATGCTGATAGTTCATAATTCCCTTCCTTATAAATTTAACTGACATAAGACAAGATAAAACTGGTAAAAAAAAACTTACTTTCTAGTTTTTTCTTTAAATTGTAAATCTTTAACGATAGAATATCAACTGCTTTTCTTATGCTATACTAGAAACAAGTGATTGAAAGTAAATATTGTTAGAATAAAGAAAACCCTTTTGCATTATTAGTCTCATTTAAAATTTTAACTAATGAATATTCCTATTAAAATTTGAATCCAATCGAATTTCTATCAAGTCAGCTTTTGGAGTTGATAGAAACTAAGTTCAATATTTTCTGTGTATTTTCACAAAATATCTATTGTTAAGTGTATTTTTAATGTCACTTGTTAAGAATTTCTCACTGGTAACAACAGCTAATCACATCATTTTTTTCTGTGCATTAGTCAAATTTTGTTTTTCCAAAGTTCTTTAATGCCTTCTTTTATTCATTTGATTTTGTACTACTTCAATTCTTGTCCAAAGTTTAAGAAATAAAGAGATAATTTTATTCACTGTGACCTCCTTTTGTTAAGTATCTATTTTCATTTTTACTTGAAGCTTCAATTTTACCATACTTCATTTTTCCATTTCAGCATATCTAGGTTGGTTTTTAAAATGTAATACTTAAAAACTGTTCATTTTCTGCTTTTAATTAGCTTGACATTATATCATAATTAGTAGACTGAAATATACTGAATGTACTGAACCTTTACCATGAGCTTGACTTGGTAGGAAGCATTATGAAGAGCCACACAATCTCCACGTGATAAATTAGTTGAAATACTTGCTATGATTTACAAGTGAATAAAATAATTAACCAGTTAAGTTAAACAATAAGATTGACTAATTCCTTCTTAATCTGTAAAAACAACCTTTTTTTCAGACAGTACAATTTATCAGACCTTCTTGATATAATCAAAGCAGTCACCTATTTTAAAACTTGGAGAGTTTTTCCGTGTATGTGTTTGCCACTTGAATTTAGCGTGTTAACTGAATTTGCCACTTTAACTTAGTGCATTAACTAATAACATTGATAACAACTCCTTGCTAAAAATAGAGAGCCAGAGTTAGAGCAATGTGATGGAAAACACGTGACTAATAGCTAAAATTCCTAGAAACAGAAAGGTACAAGTACTCGAGGCAGACAATTCTGGTAATAGTTCAGGCAATCTAAAACTATTCCCCTAGTCCTAATCTCATACTTAAATCATATTTAGCATACTTATAGCAACTATTCTTACATTTTTTTTCCTTCTTTCCTTTTTATATGGGAAAAAGATAAGAAATAAGAAAAATAATCTTTAGTTTGATTTTGATAAAAGTAAAAAAGAAAACTCCACAAACTAGAAATAGTGACACAAAAATAGACAGGAAACAATAAAAATTAAGTTAAATTATTTGTACAACTTCTGGCTTTAGAATTTGGTTTTAAGTTGATCTATTAGGATATTACAAGAAATATTTTAAAAGCATACCAAATATGAGTTTTTCTCTCACAGTATGTCAATTTAAGACTATTAAAAATTGTTGTATAATGAATTTTTCTTCAGTATATTTTTATTCTGATAAATTTTGGTTTGACTCATTGTTCTATGTCATCTGTATTTAAAGACAACTTATCCTGACAGGAAGACAGCTATACATAGTAAAATGACAGTGACTACTTAAAAAAAATCACTGAATCTGTCTTACAAACATCTGTTGTAGAGGAATAAAATACATTAATTTTGGCTTCATGGTGTTCATCAGTAAAAGTGATTCCTCTGAATACCTATATAATTTCAGAATTTCTCATTGTCAAGTTTTTTCTAAAGGATAGGCATAGTTTAATTGAACACTAATATAAAAATCAATGTTATTAAACATTAAACTACCTTTATAACATCTTAAAATTCTTCTAATAACAAATCTATTTACTGTTTTTTAAAGAGAATAAAAATAGTAAAAAAAAAAAAAAAAAGAAATGATGCAGAATTGTCCTAAACAAACTGATAGGAATTCAACAATGGTTGTTATATTGTATATTGTGGTCTTCAGATTAGTTGTTCATATTGCCAGATACAAGCATACAAAATTGTTGAAAAAATTATAAAAAATTAAAAAGGACAGAAAACAATTTTAAGCATTAACTGCTGCTTTGAGTACACCAGCAGGAATCAGTAGTACAATTATTGCAGCTATCCGGTGTATATACATATATAATACTTTTTCCCTTCTTTAAATTTTCTATTTTTAACATTATGTAAGTTACAATAATGTAGAGCCCCAAATACATTACCATTCCTTTTCCCTTCTCTTTTATTTCTATTTCCATAGATTAAAACTTAGCTGTCATTTTTGGCAGGATGTGTGATTTCAACCTATGAAGGTGAGCCGTGTAACGAGGCAGGTCAAAGTTGTGAACCGTGTAGCCTATCTCAGGGACATACATTGTACTTTCCATTGTATTTATGCTTGACATTTTGAACAAATTTTGTTTACATGTACCAATATATTGTCACAATAGAAAATAGTTGTAAAATGCCATTGAGTGTCCAACAATGTATACTGAAGTAATAGAGCTGTGGTTTTAACTAGACATGGTAAAAGTGTTCTCATTCTGACTAAAACAACCACATTTTGTCATGTGAAGATATAGTTCATTTTGTGATCATTACGTTGTTTAAGATTGCAGTAAAATTCTTATTTTAATATGTTAATTGTGTACGTAGCTAATCAGTAAGATGCGTACGTTAAGCATTAAAAGTTTGTGAAATTTAGTTTGGCTTTAGTGTAATTTCTTGAACTACAAGATCATTTTCAAATGCTATGAAGCTTGGAATTGGAATGCTCTTAAGCCATCCTGATGTCCTACTTCGTTCACTAAATACAGTCTTCCTAGCATGAAAATGAAATCTACAGATATACAACTAGAGATTTTTTAAATGATTCCTAAATGTGTGCATTTGAAAGGTGAAATGCTTATCACATTGTCCACCATACTCCTACAGATGTACCGTAAGATGGCTTTGAGGAAACAGCCAGCTGCGTTCATATGGGCAAAACAGTATCTTTCCTAGAAAAGATTCTCATATTAGCCTTTCATACTCCATTCTTGTTACCTTTCCTGAGAATCAGACATTTTAATAAGTAGGAATATGGTTTGTCCTTTTGGAAAGAAGATCTGAAATAGTTTTCTCACATATCAGTTGGGTTGTAAGTGAGCTAATTCATTTGAATTATTCTTTATTATCTTTCAAAAAGTTGAATTCTGACAATTTAAGTTTCTGACTGTGATAGAAATCTTTCCATTAAAAACACTGCATGGTGTTTTTTCTTTTTACTTTATAAATAATTTCTAGGTGGTTACGCCATAGAAAAAGGTGAGTTTGGAATCCAGTGGTAACTTTTACTATATATAATTTGCTTTTGGAAATTCAAAGTATCCATGTGATGAATAACATCCTTCTTGATTTCAGCAAAGTTCAAAAACTTTGGAGAAGTAGATTATTTTAAAATGATAACTTATGTGTCATTGTTGTTGTTGTTTTGTGTTGTTTGTGTGCGTATGTATTTTCTTTTTCATTTTAACCAGCCTCTTATACCTAGAAGTCCCACAAGCAGCGTTGCCACGCCTTCCAGCACCATCAGCACACCCACCAAAAGAGACAGCTCTGCCCTTCAAGATCTCTACATTCCTCCTCCTCCTGCAGAACCATATATTCCCAGGTATGAAACTGTCACATGGTTCGAGGAAGCTACTACCTAAAGACTAACCCAATAGCATATATAATTTGAAGTCAATTCTTGAGGGACACCTTGAATATTTTCTTAGTTGAACATTCTGAACACAGTCTCAAAAATCATTCCCATTATACCAAGGCAGTTAGGCCAATAACAATTATAAAAACTACAGTATGTTTTATGAATTATTTACTAAGGCTAAGAAATTTCAGGTCAGGGCTGGCCAAATAGCTTAGTGGATTAAAGCACCTACAAGCAGGTGCAGGGGCTGCGGGTTCGATCCCCAGGCCTGTTGTACCAGCCCTGCCCCCCAGGACCCTCTGAGATGGCAATTGAGACTATGCATGGTGGCTTGCGCCTGTAATCCCAGCACTTGGGAGGCGGTAAAGTGGAGAATCAATACCAGTCTGATCTAGTAGTAAGACCTTGAACACTCTGTAGACCCTTCCCCAAAAAAATTACAGAAAAAAAAAAAGGAAATCTTAGGTTAGATTGAAGCATTTCGCTTAACGCTTTTCGAGAAGAGGTATATAGACAACGTGTGTGCTTTCTTAAGTTTAGGTGATGAGAAAGACATTTTTATGGGGAGAAGGAAGAGAGAAAGTATCCCCCAGTCAAAATACTTGTGTTTATAGAGTTTTTATGTCATTTGTCCATTAATATTTTCCTCACAAAATAAGAGTTTACAATAGATTGAACTGCTGTTAAAATCTGTTTTCTAGATTTCTTGTGGCTTAATCTCTATTTCATTTCCAAGTTCTTATTAAAAATTCCTGGCAGTAGTGAAAGAATACAGCTTTGTGCCATAATACATTCATTCCATCAGCATTCTGATATTTAGCCTTATGGACACAAAAATTATGGACTAGGACCAGAAGTTAAAGGCAATAATAAATCCCAATCATGAACACATTGATTTTTTTACTCACTGGTGTTCAAAAGCAGTATTTTATTTTCAATCCATATTTAATAATAAATGTATTTAATACATAAAAATTTCATTTGTTTAATTTTTATTATTTTTAACATTTCTAGTGTTTCAATATTATCTATTCTATTAAATATGGTGATATTGGCATTATATGATTTCACTCCTACATCACAGTATGATATACCTGCAAATGACATGTTATCAAATAGTAATAGGAACATTCAACTTTATATAGCACTTTTCATGAAAATTGAATGTTGCTGTGGGCATAGTCCATGGCACTAAGCTGGCATTTCATAATATATCTAATATCTAATTGGCGGTCTTATGCTCAGTTTACAGTCAGAAGTACAAATTCATCCAATATTCTATGTTAAAAATAAGCTACGTTTTAATTATTTTAAGACAAAATATGACTTTCTGATATTCTTGAATGAAAAAGTGTTGAAAATAAGAATAAGATGCCTATTGGTGTGTTTTCATTTTAATTGGAAAAAATTTCATTTCAGAGCAAATGGTTAAACTTTATTCTTTAGAAAGCGACATGTACAAATAAACATCAGAAAATTATTTTTTATCAAATTTCTGAAATTTTTAAGTATTGTCTCCCCTTAGGGGGCTGTAGGGAAGTTGTTACAGAGAAAATGTGTCCTGGACAAAATGTCCTTACAATACACCTGAGAGCAGTTGTGGCCAACCTGTGGTATGCATGCCACAGCCGGCTGTTTGTTGTTGAAAGGTCTAAAAGGTTCACCATCACTGCCTTAGAAGGACAAGAGAATAAGGCAAGCCAGTCCTGCCCTCTGAACATGATGAAGATATTGTTAAGGGGATATGCTGAGGTCAGTAAAAAGCTTAAGCATGCTACTTAAAAATGCTGCAGAATGTTAGAAATTGAAACATCACATAGGGGTCCTTGTTGATACTGATTACTTAAAACTTTATCCTCTTCAGTGAAATTGTTAAATAGACTTTGGCATCTCAGTTTAATTAATTTTATCTGTCAATATATAGCTGTAGAGGATATTCTAAATAGGTTTTCGTTCAGTTCATCGGTTATTTGATATAGCAATTCAAACAATCCATACATGTAAGTCCCTTTTAAACACAACCTTATATAAATTATCTACGTATTTTGTTTATAGTCATAAAACTTTGCAGCTGTAATTATAGATATAGCCTTGGTAAATGTTTGCATTTTCTTATTTTGAAGATGAATATAGCAGACCTAATTTAAATTCTTCTGAATGTCTTTTGCACATTAAAATAAAACTTTATGAATAAGCATTTTAATATTTTGTAGATGTAAATAAATGTTTAATTTGGATTATTAATAAAAGCTTTCACATTGTAAAAAAATTTAAAACTTTAAGACTAATTGTCAAGTTCAGTAGAATTTTTTTGACCTACGAGTAGTGGCACATACCTGTCATCCCAGCACTCAAGAGGCTGAGGCAAGGATTACCATAAATTCAAGGGCATTCTGGGTTGTGTAGTGAGTTCAAGGCCAGACTGAACTACATAGCAAGGCCCTGTCTCAAAAGCAAACAGAAAAGTTCAGAAGAACTTTTTCCATTTGTTTAAGTTTCTGAACATACATATTTCAGACAAAAAGTGTCTTCAAAAGTACCTTTTTCTCTATAAGAGACAATATTAATGTATGTTTAACTGTGTGAAAGTTGATTGAAATTTTATTATATGCCTATGGCTATGTACAGGTTCATTATCATAATATATTGCATACTTTATATTTAACCAAGTGTCTTTTTCTATGATGGAATAAAGCACTTACAGGTTTTTGAGCAAATATAAAATTTAATTACTAATTTGTCTTCTTTACTATGTTATGTGCAAATGTATATAAAAAGGGCTGGAGAGATGGCTTGGTGGTCTAAAGCACCTACTTAGAACAAGCTTAGCAAAAGCATCAGGGACCGCGGTTCAATCCCCCAGCACCACATGCCAGCCAGCCCTGCCCCCTGGTG